CTCACTGTCTGGGTCGTCCCGCCAGCTGCGCTGCATCTCATACTCCTGCTCCAGGCTGAGTGGTTCCGAGGCGGTGAGGCGCTGCAGCTCCTCCGACTGCATCCACTCATGGTACCTGAGAGCGGGACCCAGAACCAGATCACTGCAGGAGCTACAGCACCACAGGCTGATTTCCACCACTGCTCTCAGAATCAGACTGTTGTAAACCAGTTCTGGAAACACTAGCCTGCCATTCAAGGCAACTTAAAAGTATCCACAAGCCTCTCTCCCTTATCTAACACAGGAATTGGTGTTCTCCATGGAAATTTAGCAAGTTTGTCCATCCTGTAGCTTTGTTTGAAGAGCGCCTGATGCGAATGACGTTTTTAAAAGTACTGAGCATGGACTTCTGGTGCATTTCATCCCAATTGAGATTGATACAGCATCTTTCGGGCACCGACAAAGTGACTAATACTGGCATCTTTGTGCTGAGCCTGCAGCTGCCCAGGCCAGCACTTTACAAACTGCCTGTACGTCTGCTTCTAATTTATCAAACATCCTTTGTTGGCTTTACGCACTGAAGTTTTGCTCTTTCACTGTCATTAGGGAAAGACATCAGTGAACAAGAGAACTGCCAGTGCTTCACTCACAGACAGGTATTTCCCTTTCTGGGGGTCCACAGGGGCACAGATGAAGTTCTCTTTGTCAGCAAAGAGCACAGACGTGCCAGGGATGCTGCTGCAGGTCATGGAGTGCAAAACTGATTGCCTTTCTACTACTGCTGCGTGGCTCCCAGGGGAAAGGGGCCCTGCAGCTCTCAAGCCAGCACCCTTTCTGAACACCACACCTCCTTAAAAAGAAAAGTGAAGCAGACAGTGAAGAGCGCCAGAGGAAGACAAGAGCTCATACCGGGGCACATGTGCAGATGTGTATGGCACCAGGGTCACCCTCTGTCCTTGCAGCACAGTGTTCTGGTTAATCCTCATGGCTTCTGCATTGAGAGAGAGATGCAACACCCCACTCGTGTCTCCAGCAAGGCCAAGGGATGGGACAGCACCCCCAGGAGCCCTCCAGGAGCCAGCGGAGGCCACTCTCACTGTGTGGACAGGCCCCAACTCATACCAGTCCCACACACAGCAACATTCCTGCATCCTCCCTCCTCCCCCCCACCCAGAGCAAGGCTGTATCACTGCTGAGTGCCCACCAGGTCCAACAGCGGCCAGGGGTCTGCCCTGACAGGGACCACTTAGCACTTCGTCACCCAGGTGGTGGTGGTGGTGGAGGTGCCTTCCCCTCACACACTGTGGGCCTTGGGGAAACACAGGGCTGGGGGAAGATCCAGGGCCTGAGTGGGGGATCGGGGCCTGACGGAGGGATCGGGGGCCTGAGGGGGGAACAGGACCTGAGGGGAGATAGGGGCCTGAGGGGAACCCTAGGGCCTGAAGGGGGGAACAGGACCTGAGGGAAGATTGGGGGACTGAGGAGAGATGGAGGGACTGAGGGGAGATAGGAGCCTGAGGGGAACCCTAGGGCCTGGGGGGGAAACGGGGGCCTGAGAGGGGAACAGGGCCTGAGGGGAACCCTGGGGCCTGAGGGAAGATTGGGAGCCTGAGGGGAGATCGGGGGCCTGAGGGGAATCCTGGGGCCTGAGGAGAACCCTGGGGCCTGAGGGGAGATGGAGGGATTGAGGGGAGATAGGGGCCTGAGGGGAACCCTAGGACCTGAGGGGAACCCTGGGTCCTGAGGGGAAACAGGGGCTGAGGGGACCCCAGGGGTCGGAGGGGAGATCGGGGGCCTGAGGGGACTCCCGGGACCGAGGAAAATAGGAGCCTGAGGGGAGATGGGGGCCTGAGGAGACCCCAGGGGCCTGAGGGGAGATCGGGGGCCTGAGGGGAATCCTGGGGCCTGGGGCAAATGTGGGGCCTGAGGGGAACCCCGGGGCCTGAGGGGAGATGGGGGCTTGAGAAGAACCCTAGGGCTGAGGGGACCCCCTGGGGCCTGAGGGGAGATGGGGGCCTGAGTGGAACCCCGGGGCTGAGGGGGGCCGCGGGCCCGAGGGGTCCCCGATACCGGCGCAAACCTCTTCCCGCCGCGGCGCCCCTCCGCGCATGCGCCGAGCCCCGCCCCCCCCCCCCCC